TTTTGATAGTAGTTTTGTAAAAATATCCGCTGCTTGGTTTCTGCTTGCTACATGCCTCAATTCGACACTTCCCTCCTTCACATGTTCCCAAATGAAATGAAATCGAACATCAATGTGTTTGCTTCGTTCATGATTCACTGGATTCTTTGCCAATTCGATAGCTAATTTATTGTCCACTTGTATTATTGTTGGATCTTCCTGTTTCAGCTTCATCTTGCTTATAAACCTTCTGAGCCATACTGCATGACAGACGCACCAGGATGCTGCCACATATTCAGCTTCACACGTCAAAAGTGTTACTATAGGTTGCTTCTTCGACAGCCGAGTAAATGATGTGTTTCCCATGAAAAACACATATCCAGAGGTGCTCTTTCGATCGTCTATGTCTCCGCACCAGTCACTGTCAGAATAACCAACTAACTTGTAGTTTTTTGTTTTTGAATAAAACATTCCTAGTGATATTGTTTCTTGGATGTATCTTAGAATTCGTTTCAGCGCCTTCCAATGTGTGTGTACTAGCTCCTCCATGAATCGACTTACTATGCCAACACTTAGTGAAATGTATGACCTTGTGCATGTGAGATATCGAAGGCTACCTACCAAGCTTCGATATTTGCTTCCTTCAACCCGTTCTCCTCCATCAAACTTTGACAGTTTTGTACCTGGTTCCATTAGCGTCGAAGTTGGATTGCAATTCTTCATTTTATATTTTTCTAGGATTTCTTTTGCATATTTTTCTTGTGAGATAAAAATTCCAGCTTCTTCTTGTCGAACCTCCAAACCAAGAAAGAATCTCATCAGACCTAAGTCTGTCATTTCGAATTCGCTTGTCATGGTGTTCTTGAAATCTTCGATCATCTGAATATCACTGCCTAGAAAGATAAGGTCATCAACATAGAGAGCAACAAGTAATAAATTACTTCAATTTTTCTTCACATAGAGGGCGGGTTCATAAGGACATTGCTCGAATCCATTCTCTTTGAAATATGTGTCAATACGTGTGTTCCATGCCCTAGGTGCTTGCTTCAGCCCATACAACGATTTCTTTAGTTTCAACACCTTCTTCTCTTCTTCAATTCTCATATATCCAAGTGGTTGTTCGACATAGATTTCTTCTTCGAGCACACCATTCAAAAATGCTGTCTTGACATCCATTTGAAATATTGGCCATTTGAATTGGGCAGCTTGAGAAATGAGTAATCGAATTGTCTCCATTCTTGCAACAGGCGCAAACACTTCGTCATAGTCAATTCCTGCTTTCTGTTTGTATCCCTTTGCAACCAGTCGTGCTTTGAATCTTTTGATTTCTCCTTGAGCATTCATCTTTTTCTTGAATACCCACTTTATACCAATGGGTTGACTACCTTTTGGCAATTCGACTAGCTCCCAAGTATTGTTGCGTTCAATTGCTCTAATCTCTTCGTCCATGGCACTTTTCCACTTCTTGTCTCGTAACGCTTCTTCGACGCTGATGTTTTCAGCATCTGCCAGAAGACACACAAGATGCACCTCACTTGTTGAATCATACAAATCTTGCAAACTTCTCATTTTTGGTTGTAGAGGATCATCTTCATCTTCAGTTTCTTCATGTTTTGTTGGAATACTTGCTGGTACAGCTACAGTTGTTTCTTTGACTGCGTCAATAACCTCTGTCGAATTGTTCCAGTCCCACTTGCTTGCTTCATTCATTCGAACGTCTCTACTCACGATTAATTTCTTTCTTATGGGATTGAAGAGCTTATACCCTTTTGTCTTCTCATCATATCCAATGAATATGTACTTCTGACTTTTGTCTTCAAGCTTTGTTCTTCGTTGATCTGGTACATGTGCATAAGCTATACTACAAAATACCTTGAGATGAGAAATTGTTGGCTTCTGTCCACTCCATGCTTCTTGTGGTGTTTTGTCTTCTAACTTTGAATGTGGACATCTATTCTGAATATAAACAGCACATTGTACTGCTTCTGTCCAGAATTCTTTCGACATGTTCTTGCTTTTGAGCATTGATCGAATCATGTCAAAAATAGTTCAATTCTTCCTTTCAGCCACACCATTTTGCTGAGGTGAATATGGTGCAGTTAGGAATCTCCTTATGCCTTGTTCTTCACAGTACTTCACAAAAGCCATTGAAGTATACTCACCTCCTCTGTCAGATCGAATTGCTTTAATGTGTCTGTCGGTTGCCTTCTCCACCATTACTTTGAACTTTTTGAACACTTCTAATGCTTCAGATTTTTCTTTCAAGAAGTAAACCCAGGTTTTTCTTGAGAAGTCATCAATAAAAGAAATGAAGTACCTTTTTCCACTGAAGGATTCTGGAGTGATTGGCCCACATATGTCAGTATGTATCAATTCGAGAATATGTTTAGCTTGATACTCTGCCTTCCTTTGAAATGAGGTTCTTGTTTATTTGCTGAGCACACATTCTTCACAGAATTTTCCTTCGAAATCCATGTCTGGTAATCCATGCACCATGTTCCTTTTCGCCAACCTTCTCAAACCAGCATGATGTAGACGACCAAAGCGCATATGCCATAGTGACGCTTTGTCTTGCACTTTGATTTGCAGACATTTCTCTCGAATGTTCCTCAGGTTCAGTTTGTACATTCGATTTCTTTCCATTTTGACACTGGCAATCAGATGTCCTGATGTGTCCTTCAAATGCAGTGTTCGATCTTTCATAAGTATCGAAGCACCTTTTTCTGTAAGTTGTCCCAGACTTAATATGTTGGTCTTGAGATCTGGTACATAGTAAACGTCTTCGATTGATCCAATCAAGCCATCCTTCTGCAAGTAATTGATTGTGCCCTTTCCTTCGACCTTCACTTTCGATGCATCTCCAAAAGACACATTTCCATCTTCAATTCTCTTCATATCTTTAAACAGGTGTTTGTAACCACACATGTGATTACTTGCTCCTGAGTCAAGATACCAAACACTGTTATTGGTGTTGATTTCGTTTTGAGCCATCAGGAGAAAGCCTTCATTCGATTCAGCTTCAAAGGCTAGGTTGGTTGTTTCTTCAATCTTCTTTTCGATTCGACAGTCTTTTGCAAGATGTCCCACTTTGTCACAGTTGTAACATTTGTAGGAGTTACAATCCTTCGCATAATGACCATACTTCCCACACTTGTAGCATTCGAAGTTGGAATGATTCGAACGACCACCTCTTTGACCACGTCCTCTGCCACGCCAATTTTGTTGGCTCGATTGTCCTCTTTCGAAGTTGCTACCTCTACCACTTCGACCATTGTCACGACCTCCACATCCACGTCCTCTTCCTCGAAAGTTGTGAGAAAAGAGTACCTTTTCGTCTTTGTTCGATTCCTTGGTTTGGTTTGGTTCTTCGACTGCTTCTTCTTTCTTTTTCATCTTTCGTTGCTCATGTGCTTCGAGAGAACCAGCGAGCTCTTCGACTGAGAGCGTCGAAAGGTCCTTCGACTCTTCTATTGCACACACAATATTTTCAAACTTGTCTGTTAAAGATCTCAAGATCTTTTCAACAACTCGTGCATCAGGTAGTGTCTCTCCATTTCTGGTGAGTTGATTCACCACCTTTTGCACACGTGTGATGTAGTCAGATACAATTTCTGTATCCTTCATCTGTATCTTCTCCAATTCGCCACGAAGAGTTTGGAGTCGAACTTGCTTCACTCGATCTGATCCTTTGAACACTTTTTCTAACGTGTCCCACGCTTGTTTCGACGTAGTCGAACCAACAATTTTTTCGAAGCCTGATTCATCTACAGCCCTGAACAACATGTATAATTCCGTTTTGTCCTTCGATTGCGTCTCTTTCAACGCCTTCGTTTGAGTTTCCGTATATCCCCCAACTTCTGTTGGTTCTTCAAACCCATCATGGGTCACATCCCACGCGTCTAGATATCCAAGAAGAGCTTTCATTTGGATACTCCAGTTTTCATAATTTGACTTCGTTAGCCGTGGCAACGACATTTGATTCATCATGTTTGCCATGAGCTCTGATGCCAAATTGTTATAACTAAGAATCAGACTTCAGACAAAACTTTGTATATTGCTCTTGTTAAAATAAAATACACTCTTGGTCTTTATATAGACCTAATGGCTTTTACAATTCTAAAAAAAAACATAACTGCTACTAATAAACTATCATAACTTACTAAACTTTTGACATTCCTACTACCATATTTAATATGAAACTTATTACTAATGACATTTAATGTTCATTCAACAAAAACAACATCACAGAGATATACGCTGAAAACTATATAAGAACACAAATCAACAAAATGAAATGGAAGAAAAATGAGAACACGGTTTCGTCAAGGATTTCGAGAGTCTTGAAACTCTCCCTTTCCAAAATTCAGAGTCTGGAACATCTTCCCACCGAATGAAGACTTGAGTTGAACCTTGTGTTGTGTTGCGGATAACCTTAATTTCCGCCGGGAATAGTTGGAGTTATAGATCCTCGAAGAGCATAAGTGGAAGTGGTTGAGGTTGGGGTTGTTGGACATGTGACTTCAAATACGTGAGGGTGAGGGTGGCGAATTGTGTGGGATTGAAATTAAATTTCAAAACAAAATCTTTTGTGAAGCAAGTTTAAAGAGTGGAAATAAGAAAACAAAATTTCCGCAAAAATAAATGACTGTAAATTAAATAGTTAAGGGACAAGAGACATATATCATACTTATAGAGGTTCAGTCTTAAACGAAATTTTTTACCCCGTGTTTTCACATCTTCAAATGCATGATCATGCTTATTGATAACACCACCATCAATTATAGTAATATCAACCTCAACATCTTCATGATCATAATCATCATTTTCCTCGTGAACTTGAGTCTCTGTCAACATGTCAGACAGAATGCGACACATTTTTCTCACTTCAAGATTTCTCAAATTTGTTTCCTAGGAATCCTACCTATTTCTCATTGGCACGGGCCTGAATAGAACATTACTCATATTTCAGACTTATGAGAAGACATTTTAATAAGACGAATTATGCCATATCCATTATTCTCTTATATCTTCTTCTTCCAAATCATTGTAGATTGTTCAAAAATGGGAGGACATCTAGCCTGATCATCAGTCTTCCCTTTAATGACATAATGCTCATGAGATAGTTCAGAATCTTGAGTAAGATGTTGAGACATCTTGTCTGATATCTTGGTTAGTCTTTCCTCTTTATTAGTATTTTCTTTGTCAATCTTGAGACCTTGTAAACCCCTGATGTCTTCCTTAGATATGACCTTCTTCATAAGACCTTTTTTACCCTTGTTGGTGACACCACCTTTTGAATTCTAGAAGTTCATATACCTAATTTGATCACATGGATGATTTATGTTGTTCTCATTGGTTGTTAATCCTTTCCTCAATAGCACCTTCCCTAAGCCATTGATTCTTCCCTATGCTATATAGGCAAGAGTGGGATGATATGACATTTGTCTAGACGTGTCTCTGATACCTCCACTATTATAATACCATTCTTCACTTGAGGAACCTTTGTGCGATGTATGTGCTATGTAGCCAGTTGAAGTAGCATTGTGTTTCCACTTCTTCTTGACATAGACTTCCTTGCATCATCTGATCTTCAGCTTCTTTAGACCATCACATCGAGGATATACATGCAGTTCGTAGCAATAAGGTCATATATGCCCAAATTTACATTAATTATGACATTTCAGAGACACTTTCTTTTTACTATTGTGAAGAGATGACACATGTTTTACACGATGTTGTGACATGTGGTCCAACCTTAGATCCTCAATCTTCTTTTCAGGTAGAACCACCTTCTCTGAGGAAATATTCATCTCTTTCGTGCTCATCCAAACTCTTTGGCCATCTCTCCAAACTCTGTCACTTCATTTAGTGAATTTGAACTATTTTTCAAATTACTTTCATACTATATCAAGTTTCCTAGTTTGGAGTTTAAAGAAACCTCTTTTTCTACAACTGTGATGATTGATGCCAACTTCCTTGTTTCCATCTGAAGAACACTTATGGTTTTCTCTTGGTTGTCTATTATTAAGCGCGCTTCTTCCCACTTGGTGTGAAGTAGCTTGGATGATGCATCAAGCTCTTCTTCAATCATGTCTTCACAACTGAACTCACCTTCAAATCTACTAGAATAAGCCATCACATTGTTGGAAGTTTCTCACTCACTTTCATTATCAGAATGAGACCAAGTGATGGATAATACCTTTTTCTGCCTCTTTAGAAAGGTACCACATTCTGGTTTAATGAGTCCATAGCCTTCACATTCAAAGCACTGAGTATCTTTGTCATCATTTGGTTTGTCTTCACTCCTGCCTTTATTATGGGGACTGTGATCGGTGGAAATAGAACTGACTGTTTTTTAAGCTGGTTTCGCGAAATGTCACGGTAAGCAAGAGTCGCCACCGTCTTTTATGTTCTCCAACATGGAAAGGAAAAAAGCACAGCAAAATTCCTTATTCGAGATGTTTCTCGGTTCGGGAGGTAGATTTATAGAAAGGGAAGGTATTAGCACCCTTTCTATCTGTGGTTATCCACGGGCTCTTAGGTACTTGCTCTTATGTTTTCAAAATTTGTTTGCTTTTCAAGTGTATGTGGGTTTTGAAAAAGTTTCGTTTGAAAAATTTCTAAGTAACTCTTGTATCAGTCCTCAAGAGTGTATGAAAAATTTGTTTGAAAACTTTTAGAAAGTGTGAGGTGTGAAAAGTATTTTTGTTTGTTTGTTTTGAGAAGAGCAAGTACTTAAGAGAAATCTACCTACTCTAAGGAATTGGGCTGTGTAAGAGTCCTTTAGATAGTGCTATCCCACCATTGAGGGGTAGGTAGCACCATCGTTGGAGGTGTTCGGGTCAATTCGATTAAGGGACATGTGTGGTCACTGAAGCAATGGTAGGACACCTTAGAAGTAACCCTAATGTCCTAGATCCTTTGTATCCGAGGCAACCGTTTCGAGGCAACTGGATCTTTTGTACAAAAGGGCGACCTCTAAGACACCCTATACTTGATGACCACGTTCGAGGCAACCAGTGAGGCGTACCCTAGGGGTGGCATGTGCATGTGTGTTGTTTCATGTTAATGTTTATTTTGTACATGTTATTTGTGAGCTACAGATTGATTTTATTTACATACATTCTTGCAGGCATTTTTTAACAGTTAGGAGTGCGGAAAGTAAATTGTGGAAATGTAAATCTAACTATTACAAGGCGCGGGTCTATACATCGCCAAAAAAACAAAACCCGTTTGGAAATAAAGTGCGAGAAATAGATAAAGCAATAAAAGAGGTCCTAATTAACTATTACATTTCCAGAAGCAGTTACATAAATATAATGAAAATAAATTAAAGCGCGAGAGAATCGAATCGGGATGTCTTTAGGGTGTTGACCTTTTTTTAAGAAAGAATTGAATTTTTTGTCTTTTTTTTTGTAATTAATGAAATTAAAACTAATAACTAATTAATTAATTAAAAAAAATGAAAGTTTTTTTGTGTTTTTATGTTTTTTTATGAAAATAAAATAAAAAGAATTGAAATTAAAAGTTAACCTAATTCTAAATTATTTTTATTTATTGTAAAGAAAAAGAGATTAAAATTGACCTAATTAAACTATTTTATTTGTTAGTATTTTATTTACAAAAATAACATGAAATTAATAATAATAATAATATTAGTTCTTTTTATTTATTTATTGTGAAAGGGTTAAATAATTTGTTAATGAGTAATTAATAAAAAAATAATAGAATAAAACAAAGCAATTAATAAGAAAGAAAATAAAAAAATGCAAACCCAAAGGGGGGTATGGGCCAGCAATGTGGATTTTTGTAAGCAAGCTGAGGCCCATTTGCCACAAAGTCACGTTGACTCCTGGAATCATATGCATTCTCATTGACTTGGAACATGGTGTGGAGCCATCCCTGGCCTTTGGATCTGTCTTTTGAGGCACTTGGCATGTGGATTGGTGAGGCGTATGGTGGAGCACAATGACTAGCCTGCATAGGAATTTGTTAAACAAAATAATATTGAGTTTTGGGGGACCTGGGAATCGAACCCAGGTCCCAGTAATTGCCAAGCACGTCACCAACCATTACACCATTTAAGCGCGTTTGATATCATAATACAAACTGATCATTATATTAGAAAGTCAGGCCATATGCTTCCTCAAAAGAAAAGCGCGCGTTTTATTTCAAATGCTCCAATCACTTAATAACACGTAATCATCTTCTTCATCAAACCTGCACAAAAACAAAACACATAGCGGGGGTTTTAAACCCCCACAAAATACAACCACAGAAAATAGCGATTAGAAATGTACGCTATATAAATAGGGCGCGAGTATGGTGTTGAATTCGTCTTGTCATGACGAATTCAACCATATACGTCTCAAGGTCCAATTTTTCTGTATGTGCAAAGCCCTAAAATCCAAGCTTCGAAACCCTAGGTTGCTTCAATGGTGTTTTTGAATTCAGAGCACCATAATCAAATTGAATCATGCCAATAGCTTCAGAATGGTCCTATTAACACAAATCGATCCAAAAAAAAGGTTAAAAATGCATGAATAAGGATGTGCGATTATGGAAAAATATTCAAACCGTGGGACTTGTTGTGGATGATTCTTTGAGTATTGGAACTTGTTTATGATTGCAATAGGTTCCTGGCAATGCTGGCAACGTGTTAGAATCAAGAAAAGTGTTTGAATTGTGCTGGAATATGGATTTCAGTTTTCAACTTTTCTTCAAGTTTTTGGAATTTGGTTCTGCCGTTTTAGAGAGTTCTAGGTCGTGAATACTGTCTGGAACACTTGCATATGTATGTTTGAATGAGAATCAAGTCACATGATGAGCCTTTAACCATTGCAATGATGTTTTTGGATTTCTTCATAACCACCATTAAAGGCCTTTCAAAGCTTTGTCCAAATTTTGAATTTTCATGCCTAAATGAGCTTTACACAAATTTGGCAACTAGAATATGCTTCATGAAGGCTAATCAAACCACAAGATACCATTTAATCAATTTTTTTGATTTTACTTGAATTATTATGGATTAAAATGAATTAAATCCATAAAAATTAAATAAAAATAGAAAAATAATTATTTGGTCTTGAAATTGATCATGGGACACGTGGGTGGCATGAAAAGGCTGAATCAAGTGATAAAAAGTGGGCCCTTTTGTCAAAAATTGAAGTTTCAAGGATAGTTGACTTTTGCCATTTCACAAAAATTTCCCAACTTCTCCAATGCATATCTTGCTCAATTTTGATCATATGAACATGTTCTTGGACATTTTGGAAAGGTCTTGAAGTCCTCTAACCTATGCCTTTGGTCCCATGTCATTTTGATTTACCAATCTCAAGTTATGGTCTTTGACTTAAAGTGCATTTTTGTTGACTTTTGAAAATGACCTATAATGTTGAAATTGATAACTTTTGGTGAGAGCATTTCTTGGACTTGGAATGTGAAGATGAGTTGTAGGAAATGTCTTCCCCTTCAAAATGAGCATTGGATGGGATTTTTCTTATGAACCATGAAAAAGTTATGCCTTGGTCAAGTTACAGTTGACTTTTCAACTGTCCAAAAATAGAAACTTTTGCATCTTGATGATTTTTGAGCCATTCTTGTGAAATCATGGTCAAGATTTGACCAAATGATGATTGTGGCTTCAAAATAAGATGTTGACCAAAAATTTGACTTTTGACTGCCAAATGACCATTTTGCCCCTACAGTTAATTGTGAAGCAATTAGGGTTTCTGACTGTGAAACTTGACCTTGTGAGCCCTGAAACTTGACATATAGGTGCTTGAAAATGTTTATAGGCATGTGGGACTTGATTGAGCCCTTGAAAACCTCAACTTCCTTGCAAGAACCAAAACCCTAATTTGACTGGCTTAGGAGGGTGGTTGACTGTGCAACCCTTGAGTAGACTTGAGCAAATTGAGATGATGCTTGTCAAAATTTTGAAGAATATGGGAGGGCAAATTTTAGGGTACAACAGTTGCCCCTGTTCAATCTTCTTAGACCTGAGGATGTAGATTGGCTTGTGTGCCTTTCGTGATCTGAGGGTGGAAGATGATTGAACACTAGAGTGCCCAGAAATTTGCACTCACATAGTAGAGTATCAGCAGTGTGATGGAGGGAATGGGCTTACAGATGCCATTTGGAAAGATGATGGATAGGGGGATGGGCTTATAGATGCCATCTGGAGATGTGACAGAACTTTGTCGTGAATGGGCTTATAGATGCCATTTGGAACTGTAATGGATAGTTGTGGAGATGGGCTTAAAGATGCCATCGGGGGGTCGATCACGTAAGAGATTCCTTAGCGAGAACTTGCGTACTTGAGAAAGAAAGATGGTTTCCTGGCCTGTTACAGGTGTTGATCTTCAAACTCTTCATGCAGATATGCCCTGGCTGGATACAAGTATCGAATCTACAATCAGTTGCTCACAGATATGCCCTGGCTAGATACAGGTATCGAATCTCTAAACTCTTCATGCAGACATGCCCTGGCTAGATACAGGTATCGAATCTACAATCATTTACTCACAGATATGCCCTGGCTGGATACAGGAATCGAATCTGGAATTAGTCATCTACAGATATGCCCTTGCTGGATATAGGTATCGAATCTTCAAACTCTTCAGATATGCCCTGGCTAGATACAGGAATCGAATCTGGAATTAGTCACCTACAGATATGCCCTGGCTGGATACAGGTATCGAATCTTCAAACTCTTCAGATATGCCCTGGCTAGATACAGGAATCAAATTTGGAATTAGTCATCTACAGATATGCCCTGGCTGGATACAGGTATCGAATCTTCAAACTCTTCAGATATGCCCTGGATAGATACAGGAATCGAATCTGGAATTAGTCATCTACAGATATGCCCTGGCTGGATACAGGTATCGAATCTTCAAACTCTTCAGATATGCCCTGGCTAGATACAGGAATCGAATCTGGAATTAGTCGTCAATAGATATGCCCTGGCTAGATACAAGTATCGAATCTCTAAACTCTTCATGCAGACATGCCCTGGCTAGATATAGGTATCGAATCTACAATCAGTTACTCATAGATATGCCTTGGTTGGATACAAGAATCGAATCTGGAATTAGTCATCTACAGATATGCCCTGGCTGGATACAGGTATCG